TCTCAGGACCCTGAACGTGGGCTTGCGGCTCACGCGGCGAGGTGGAGCCACTGTAGTGCCATCGAAGACTTTATTTGTAGAACAGTGTGGAAAGCTGTAATAAAAAATTTCCTTAACTTGAAGTGATAGCACTTCCCATATTTATCTTTGTCGGAATAACAAGAGAAAATTCCCGTAAAAACTCCTTTTTTCAGGAGCAGAATCCAGGAGGATGAAGGACCCGGAGGACGCACGAAACGAGGTGTCCTCTTTCTACGTACCCCCTCCCCCTTTTTATTTTCAGGTTCGAAGGCAGTGGGACAACCGTCGCTTATAGTCCATAACTATTTCTATACAAAATATTAAAGTATTTATTGAAACCTTACTAAACTAACCCAGGCATACTGATTTTAACGATAATGGTATTACCTACATACACAGTGTCGTTTCAAAGAACGCATATTTATATTAATAATAATATCGTCTACCATATAATTGGATTAAAATATAACTTTATACTGAAAAACTTAAGAACCCATCATCTATTGTTTCTTTTAGTTACATTTTTCTCCAAATCAGANTTGTGCGTCTCAATGTTTTATTTCCCCTTTGGGATACCCGTAAGAAATCGGTATTTTTGGGCCATTTTGCTTCTCCGTCGAGATATGACGATTTTTTTTATTTCATGAGGTTATGTTGTCATGAAAACACTTTAAATTTCTTCGCGCACATCTGTATTATTAATGTTTAAAGTATACTGTAATTTATTCGCAATTTATAACTCCAATTTTATAAAGATAGAGCGAAAATACGAATTTGAGGTTATGTAATCATAACAAATGACACCTCAATTTGTGCGTCTCAATATTTCATTTTCCCTTTAGGAATAAATACTTCCATTCAGGAAAATGATGGGATTCTATGATATCAAGTCAAGTAACACAGCATGTTTTAGTTTTGCATCTGCTGGAGCTCCCGAAATGCAGACCTCATTTTTTTTTATAATTCTTCTACATAACCTGTCAGTATAATTAGTAAACATTGACTAGTAAAAAAAGATACTAGAATTAGTGATATAGGAAAAAATTTTACATTTCACTGCATTAAAAAATGAAAATGTTTCAAAAAATATTACTTCGAATATTTTTTTCAATACTTACAAGCCACAGTTCTTGAATCCATCTGGCTTGTCATAAATATTTTCAAGGTAACAGTTAAGTTTGACAAACTCACTTACCACGTTGTATGTGTAAGGCTTAGTGCTTCCTATCTTAAACATATTTATATATGTCTTTCTACGTGTATATACTCATAAGATATGTCACTAAGACCTCTTTATCTAGTCACTCCACGTTTTACCCTTATATAAGATTATAGAAATGCTCAATTTTTCAAGCATAGTCTTGTTAGTTTCTAAAACGTTACCTCCTCCTTCCTTGGCCATCCCATCGAATTCTTATAGCCACCCTTGCCCCTTTCACAGTCTAGTTTGTAAAAACATGTTCTAGTTAATATACAAATTGCTTAAATTCAAAAGAGAGAAGTCAAAGGTTTTTGAAAATTTTTCAGTTGTTATTTAAATATTTTTTAACACGTCTTATGTTTCTTCGAAGTTTATTAATAAATTTATTTGTGCAGTTTTGTGATACAAAAAGCCAGTATAGGGAACAAAAATGAATGTTCCTACTTTTGTATATTTATTTGTTTAGAACTATTGTATAATACATACTCAAACATTGTGCATAGTAATAAAATTAACGCCTGATTGAGTAATTTTTTGTTTTTTTTAACTGCCCGAACGACTCAAAGAGCTTCTCTACAAAGATTTGTTTATATTTTCATAAAAATTGGTTAATCAGGTAATTTGCAACTACATTCTTATATATCTTCAATAAGAAAATGTCGCGATCCTGATTTATCTAAAATTGTAACGGGCAATCGGAAACAGAATGAGTTCAAAAGTTTTTTCATTTTGATTTACAAAAAATATGACATCATATACGATACTAATTAAGTCTTATAGTTCGATTAGATGACGCAATGTAACATTTTATTTAAGTAGACATAACAAAGAATAACATTTGTGGTGCGATCATTTTATTTGTACGTACTATACTATTTGAATTAAAAGGTTTGCTTAATGGTTATTCTTATTATAATGTTGCATGCTAATAACTAATTTCATACATTATGAAATGTTTATACTGGTATATCAGCTCACATACCCTACCATGAATACATGCAACATCATCTTTATAACGAGAATAGTCCAAGCTTAGAAAAAAAAAAATGAGTATGTAAAAAAAATTTAAAATCTTTTGAAACTGAAACAGTTCTCAGAATTATATAAATCCTGTATATATAAAAAAAAATGTCTTACATGGTAACGAGCAGTCGAAAGATAGATTGAGTTGTCTAGATTATCGATAAGATTTATTTGATTGCACAGCTAAGGAATATTGTTTATTCATCAGCTAAATATTTTACCGGAAAAAAAATGTAAATGCACATTCTCCACACTTACCAAAATAAATGAAGCCCTTGCCCTAGCAAAATTCATTAAGAATTCAATGTTAAAACGAAAAAGTCTGATATGAAACTAACAAAATGCGATCTGACTTACCCTTTTCTTCTTTATATCTTAATATATCTTAACAAAATTAAGTTGCATTTATTTCTGAAAGTTTGAAGAATGAGCTTCCACTCTCCTTTTTGAAAAGTTATGTAGAGTAAATTCCTGATGCAAACGACATCATGTAACAGAATTAAGTATAAAATATCACTTTGTATAAATAAGTTTCCCACTCTACCGAACAACTAAGTTCTTATTCTGGGATAAGTGCTTTCAAATCACGAATAAAATAGTGTAGTCTCGACAAAAATAGTGCCCTTTCCTTAGATTCAAATAAAAACTATGCTTTTTACTTTAGTTAAGACAAAGACTATGTCCTTTTTTGGTCCCAAACAATTTATTATGTCCTTTTTCGGAGTTCAAACGTATACTACGTTTTTTATCTAACTCCAAACAAAGACTATGACCTTTTTTGAGTCCGGACGAATGCTGTGCTTTTTTTGAGCTTGGACAAACTTTAGAATGAGTACCAACAAATTACGATGGCAAATTATCAAATTTTAATGTAGAAACAGCATAGAGTGGAAATATATCTCAAAACATACGTTTACAGCGTTGAAACGCTGATATTCCAAATACTTGACTAATTATAGATGGATATTTTGTGTTTAAAGCCGAATTCTTTCAAAACCAGTATTTTTTTTGCTATTATGAGAAATAACTCATTATAACCAAGAAAAATAAAAAGTTTAAATAAGGTAAACATAAAATACTCATCGTTACAATGAAGTGATAATTTAAAAATACTGCAATAAACGAATTTACTCATACATCATTTAACGTTTTTCAGTTATTTACAAAAAGAATGTAAGTATGTACCTAAAAACAGCTTATAGACAATTGTAATTTTAGCTATAAGCATTATGCAATTTGTTTCACGTAGCATTTATGTTCTTTATAGTTAAATATTACCACTTTCCAAAAAATTATAAAAATTTTATTTAACGTTGATAATGTATTCAATTATCTGATAATCATTAAAGTATTTTAAATTTTAAGGAAAGTAGCTGAGCTCATACTGTGAGCTATCTTAAAATATTTTGGTATTGGTGTTGATGCAAAATCATAATAAATTATACGAGGGCGTAAGCAAAATTTAGTTTTTATCCAAGCTACAATAAAAGAAAATTTCTTGTCACAAATACTAACTACAAACTAAAACCAATTTTCCACTTTATTTGCAACGTCAGAGCAGTTTACACTGATGGTATTAAAGAGAATCAGTAACTCCTGACTTATCTAAGCAAGTTTTTCGGACAGATTTCTCTAGCGATGGAGAGGACTCTCGTATCAGCTTTAACCTTTTCAGATTCTTACTCTAGAAAAAAAAAATTGGTCGTGGGACCCACGATAGAAGTGAAACTTCAAGTATAAAATATTGAACTCATTTTATACAGAAAATTATATGAGAAGCAATCATATGTGTTATTGTTACGAGTAAAGATAGACCTACAATTTCATAAAGATAGACCGCTAATACGAATTTGAGGTTATGTAATCATAACAAATAACACCTCAATTTGTGCGTCTCAATATTTCATTTTCCCTTTAGGATACCCATAAGAAATCGGGATTTTTGGCCTGTTTTGCTTCTTGGTCAAAATATGACGATTTTTCTTATTTTATGAGGTTATGTTGTCATGAAAACACTTTAAATTTCTTCGCGCACATCTGTATTATTAATGTTTAAAGTATACTGTAATTTTTTCGCAATTTATAACTCCAATTTCATAAAGATAGAGTGAAAATACAAATTTGAAGTTATGTAATCACAACAAATGACACCTCTATTTGTGCGTCTCGATATTTTATTTCCCCTTTAGGATACTCGTAAAAAATCGGTATTTTTGTCCTATTTTGCTTCACCGTCGAGATATGACGATTTTTCTCATTGTATGAGATTATATGGTTAATTTGTGGACATCTCTATTAATTTTCAAGGTATACTATTTATAACTCATACATCAGAAAAGTACAACTAAAATACGAATTTGAGGTAATTTGATAACAAATAATACCTCGATACACACACACACACACACACACAGCGGCTAGAGTTGGAGTAATAGGGATGCCTGTTAGTATAGCATGTGGTGGCAAGGAGGACGCGGCAGAGAGAAAGAGCGGCTGAAGTGGTAGGGATGCACTGCCAGTATAGCATGTGGTGGCAAGGGGGATGCGGAGAGAGAGAGAGTGGCTGGAGTGGTGGGGTGCTCAGAAATTTCGTGTCGCTCGAAAAAATTCACAACGTGCCACAAGAAGTTTAACTTCAAAAAATATTGTTGACCCTTACTGGTCAATCCATTACAAAAAACATCCGTATCATACAAAGAACTTCTTAAAAAATGTTAACGAGTAAGGATTTGAAAAAATGAATTTAAAATTACAATTAGATTTTAAAATATTTACGTACCGGATAAGCTTCCTTGGATTTCCCAAAATTCATTGCATACATTTTTCTGAAAACTTTAAGAGCCTTTTTATTTTTACCTTGACTCATTAAAAATTTTGGACTCTCTGGAAAAAGCCCGAGGCTCATCGCTCCGAATAGAATTGGTAATCCACATGCTGATAAATATATCTGCCACGAACGCCAATAAAAACTATTATAACTAAATACTATATTTTGTGGAATAATTAGAAATGCTAGAGCTAAAATCAACAAAAAATTTAAACTATTTTGGGAAAAAACTTGTATTTTATTCGAAATAAAATTTTTTTTGTGACTTACAAAGCGTTAAAAACATTATTAAAAATATTTAAAATGCTTAAAATAATCTAACTATAGAAAAAATGTTATACTTCATACCAGCTCCCACTATACTTCCAGCAGTAAGAAAGAATCCAAGGATCATAGTCACCTTAGGTCTATCTTTTGTTGAATGAAATTCAGCGCAGTATGTCATAACGGAAGCATAAGGTCCGCTTACTCTATAACAGAATTTGATTGATTGTAAGGCTATGTTTGTCAATTTTTCCTATAAATGTAACAGTATTACTAAAAAAAGCTTACACAAAGCCACATGTAAATTTAAAAAATAGCAGAACGTAGAAGTTTTGTGATAATCCACTTAAAACATTTAGAATTCCATCAAATAAATAGCCATATAAAACAACTGGTTTTCGTCCGAATGCATCAGCCATCAAACCCCACATGAATGCACTACTGACCATGCCTAAAAATAAATTTTAAAAACGTAAAATTGATAATATCATGTATTTTTTAACAAATTTATGTGTCTACATACAGTATATGGGTGCGTAAGGTATGTATGCTTGAATTAGTGTGTTCGTCGTGAAATTAAATTTTTAAATGCAGGGGCTAACAGTATACGGACGCTGTAAGATTAAGGAAAAAAAAGCTCGTAGGCAGTGGTATTTATTATGAGCAAAACTTAAAAATGGCATGCATATTGAAAACCAAAAAGGACTTTATGGAGCTTGCCTACAGAATAAGTACACTACTACATTCTCTGTATGACGCTAAATATGTAAAGATACACTTAAACCACACTAAGGCTAACCCAAAAATATTAATTATTCAAGCTTTAAGGTGTGGGCACAATTGCTAAGCTCTACATTTTACAAATGCTGCTTGTCTTGGACTAACTGCTTGAGTAGAAAATTCGTGGCGTGTCAAAAAAAGCTTACTTTCATTAGAGGTGTAAAAAAAGAGCTGATTTTTTTCAAATCATTGTGAATTTAAAGATGAAGTTTTATGTAAAATTACCTTATCTTTAATGCAGCTTTAATTTTTTTTTTCAACTTTAATTTTAGACTTATTAGAACACGTATTTTACAGACTTATTAAGCGCTTACATAATACATCTTTTTTTGTGAATCATGAATATTATATAGAACTAATGCAAGTAATAAAATTCCTTAACTTCTTTAATTTACGACAAGTTTTGCCTAGGCAATCAATATTTTTACTAATAAACTACTAATATTTACAAAATTTGTCATACGTAGCAATCAAAAATAGTACCACCTTGACCAGACTTGAGAACTGAACTTGCTGAAAAATAGCGGTATCAATTTTACTACTAAACTCTCGGTTACTTCCGCTTCTCAACTGCTACATTCAAGCTATTGTCAATTTAATATAAATATATCCAAAGTTTACATTATTTGTCGATTAATTTGCGTAAATGCCGATATATATATCCTTATATTAAATAGTTGTATTAACGAAAGTGAGTCATAGCCCACCCCGCTCCCTCTCAGCGCCCACTTAGCTCCCCCACAGATCCCCTTAATTTACATAGTTATTTGCTTATGTTTATCCATCAGGTCCCCCTTGCTCCCCTTCTACCTTCCCCCAAAAATACTTATTTATAGAATATTTTACCATCTGGAATGTAAAAAAATATATGTAATTTAGTACGCAAGTCATATGTCATTTTTAGAGTTTTTCAAGTCACTGATCATAGGTCTCCCTCTGTCTATTCTCTCTCCCTTACTCACTATATGTCTTTAAAGGACCATTATTTGTTTAACTTGATTAAACTTTCAAATTTGAAATCTTTTTCTGGTCCATGTGTACTATACCCAAATATAAAATTCATGATTAATTGAGAACTTTCTTTACAGACGACAGAATTCAGGAGAAGATATAAATAAATAGACGAACACAATTAAGCTTTCGAAACAATACTTTATTCTGTTAATTTAATGCTGTGACATTTCATGTGTCGTTTAAACCCATCTGTTCTTTTAAAACCCTTTTCATATTTTTCACATATTTTTTAAAATGTTTTTTTATGAATCAACATATGTCTGTTTAAATGTGACGATCTTTAATGTTAAACATTTTTTAATTTCTGAAAAACTTCTTGCTAAGCAATATTTATAATTTTTGGTTCATTCTCGGATTCAATTACAATAAAAATTCTTTTTTTATGTTTACATCTTGATAAAGCAACTTATAATTGTCCGTGAGAGAATAAAGATTTTAAAATGTACAACCCTAAGAATTGAAAACTCTGTCCTTGTCATTTGTTAATAGTCATAGAAAATGCTAATACAAAGAGAAACTGTTTTCTATATGAGACAAAAGATAATGATGGTAAGGTGCCAGTTTTCAATGTTATTTTAGGAATATAATCTTTGATACCTTTTTTTTCCCGTTATTATTTCGGCTTCTATATTATACTAAAATAATTTTCTTATTTTTAATCTTGTGCCATTACAAAGACCGTCTGGTATACTAAATTTTCTTATTATGATTACTATAGCATTTATTTTTAATTTGAATTTGTGTAGTGCAATACCTTCCCTTATATTATTTAAAAATTCTATTGGAAAATTAATATTTATGTTATCATCTGTTTTATCAGCTCCTTTGTAAGTCGCGTATCCTGCTGTTGTAAACTTATTTTCAGTCTGCATTGATAATTACACGAGTAATTTTGTCATTTTTTCTACTTAATCTGTTAGTGGGGGGTTGGCGCGTGGAGTGCGCAGGGGAGCGTCAGCCCCGCTAGTATCTAGTGTGTGTATGTGTGTATTTATATTTCTCATTAATTACCAGTTATGTCTTGAAAATTACTTATCAATTATTAAGAATAATGCATAATATTCATATATTTCAAGAAAGCAGGCGTCAACTAAAAAATAACCTACAGTTCAAATGAAGCAAATAGAAAAGGTAGTCACTAAGCCCTAGAAGCAAACTTGGTCATACGTTTTCCGAGCAAGTAAGAAATATAGATTAAGGGCATGGTCAAGAAAGAACTCGTTTCATTTACTTCATACGACAATTTTTCTTCAAACAAGTCAAATTGTGTTTCAAGTTTACATAAGGTAGTGTTAAAGAAAAAAAAAACTTTTAAAATACGTGGCATCTTTAGGAATAAATAGTCAAAATACACTTACAAACAAATACTTATACTTAAGACAGTGGCTCAAAAGTATCCCTAGGTATTTTAAAGATTTTGCATATTGCAACACAAAAGTTTCTAGTTAAGTTATTTAATGAAAAGTCCTACACGGAGTACAAAATATCAATAAGCCTATACATAAAAGATATTGAGTGAAATAAGAGTCGTTTGAGAGAAAAATTTTTTTGTCTAAGGAGGTTAAGCCCAAAAAAAAAGGAATATGATGTAATACCTTCAGAAACAGTGTTAAGTTTTTTTTACAATTACAAGGGTAAATATGATATATACAAGAAAAAACATTTTTAGATCACCCAACTTAAACTACGACTGTTAATATCTTAGGGTATTGGAAGCTATCCATTTTCCGTTAACTATCCCTTAAAGATGTAACTAGCCGTGAATGACTTATTAAATATAAATTATTGTATCGTTATCTTACTTTTTAAACTTAAGTCACAGTTGCAATACTTTTTAGTTGAACGAAAAATAAAGTAATAAAAGCAGTAAAAGAAAAAACAGTTTTGTATTGTCAAGGAAGATAATAAGCTATTATGCAAACGGTGAGGACTATAAAAGTGTAGTACTCCATTTATTTTTTGTATTGGATTACTAGAAGGCACTGAGCCCTCAATTTTACGTAACTTTAAAATTACACAGATATTACTTGTGTCTTCAGCCTCTATAAAGCTTTTTGGATCTTGCAGCATAAGTGTAAAAACTTGCCACCAGAGGCTAGAAATCTAATTTTTTTTCGTCATTAAAAAGACTTTAGTCCCTTAAAACTGACACTAATATCTATCTCTTGATTGCAGTTTGCTTTTTTTTATGCCTCACTAAGCGATTAATTCTCCCTTGGATAATAAGTCAATAAACTTGGCGCAGCATAAGTCCACATAAGCCTTCACTACTCTACTAAATCCTTGCATTTTACTAACACCTTACTCAAGACAAAACGCAACTTCATCTGCTTGCTTCATAATAAATAACTCCTGTCCAGAGAAAAGAACAATTCCTTAATCTCCAATTTTTTCTGATAGATACAGCTACCTGCCATTCCAGAGGTACATATTTATTGTAATTGCTTATTCAATGTAGCAAGACACATACGAATCCTAAGCATTCGAAGTGCCCAATAATAGTTTGCCATCTTCTGACCTGGCAGTAGGCCAGCCAAATATTCAGTCTGCCTGACTGTGCTACACGCTTTGCTGCAATTTTTTTTAATGTTTATGATGCCTTCCATTGTACTTTAGCTTTTAAAAGTAAAGCTCTGATTTCTGAGTTTTCGTATGAGATAAATAATAATACGTACTGTATCCTTCTTTGATAAAACTGTCCAGGCCTTAAAAAAAATTGTAGTAGTAGTGGCTGTAAAAAAAAGGAATAGTAAGAGTAGTAGCAGTAGTAGTAGTTTTTATTTTTTTTTTTTTATTTCTCAAGGTAGGGGAAATGCATTGAGGCACACCATAGGGACAGCGGTAGTGTGAGACTTGGTGAATTTTTTTGCTAAGAACACCCATACCCACTAAAACCCCCTCCATGCTGCATGGCTTTTGATCCACCCTGGAACCGCGTTAGCATTACTTCAGGGTGGAGCCACCAGGGAGACCATCGCGTCTCACAGCATTAACGAGTTAACTCGCTTCCATTTGCTAGAGGTGCTAATGCTCTCGAGTCCTGAAAAGAACTTGGGGTCCCTGAGGACCAGCAACTTATGTAGCACTTCATAGTAGACCACCTACTTAGCCAGCACGACTATAAGCTCAATGCTTTTCCTTGCTGTTGAGTAAAAAGTACCCAGTGCAGTGTGGGTCCACATAAGCCTGTCTTTCAACTTAAGGCGTTTTTGCCTGATTTTGATCCTACTTGGGCCTTATCCCTGGCCTATTTTAAGGCTCTCCTAAATAAAGGGCCGCTCCCGCTGCCTGCTTCGTTTTTGTTGTCCGTTGTTAGGCAAAGGAAGCACTGTGCTGGGCCTGGACACTCTTTCTTCCGGTGGTTTAAGCTTCCACACCGAAAACAAAGCTTTGATCTGTTTTCTTTCTACAGTTGCCAGAGATGTGTCCATATCCCAGGCACATTTAACATCTTGTTACTTCAATTCTTCTTCGAATTCGGCAGCTTACAAAGCCAACTTGTAACCTGCCTTCCTTTTCTACTTGTCTGGCAGATGCTTCGTCGACCTTTATTAAAGCCAGCCTCTGTCCCCTGGCATTTTGCTTTAAGAGAGCTACTTTTGGCTCCTGGCTCTGATGTCCAAAAGCCCTAGCGAAAGCCTCTTTGACCTCATCTTT